GGGCTAGCTCAGAAACCCCAACTGTGATTGCTCACAGTCATGGTTAACAGAGGCGATGGTACGGCAGGGATTCACCCTGCAGCAGGCAAGTCTCAGAGTTACCATTCCTGTCACCTGCAAAATTGGCCAGATCCTCTGGATGATGGAATTGTTTAATAACCCAAGATCCAGCGTGCATGGTGGGGCTGCTCAGAACACGCTAATGCAGGAAGCAATACTGTTCAATGCCAACTTAAATGCCTGATGGGTTACACAGTAACGTGAAAGGATGGGAGTCCTCTTTGCCCCATCATTCACACCTCTGCAAGCCACGTTCTTTCTCTGCAAGACATTTCTTTTCTTTTTATGGCCCAGTGGTAAAAGGCTATATCAGCATGGATTCAAAATGACCTTCGTCCAGCCTGGATCAGCATGGTCAGAGATGCCGGGTCCAGTGCACCTGCCCTGCAGAAGGCTTCAGCATCTGCCACTGTTCAGGCCTTCAGCACACCTCCAAAATAGGAACTTGGCAAACAAAGCTAACAGAGTGCATTGCTAAGCAGAACATTCTGCCGAGTCCCAACACCAGGACTGCATGTTATAGAGCACTTGCCAATTCCTGAGTCAACTTTATTTATTATACACTAGAAAGGTCATGACGAATCTCAAAAGATAAAATCTGTGTCTGTCAAGCCGCCTTCCTTATTTTCATTGGCCCAGACCCTCACGTTCCACACCAACAATAACAGGACATAGGTTCAAGAGGCACCATGAGTGCAGCTTACCCTGAGATGGCCCAGGCTTGTTTTGCATTCTTCTTAGAACTGATCCAGGCTGCTCAATTCCTTTTTTAGGAATTTTTTTTTTTTTTTTCCTGGATGCAGTCACCACACCGCACAAGAGGCTTACATCCCTGGGAACCCCAAAGCACAGGCACAAGGTTTCACAGCCCAGATAATGCCAAATGCCCAAACGATGCAGCTGCAAGTTCTCCAGCAACATGAAGTATCCAACTGGGATACGCTTAACTCCCATTTAGAAGTAATATCCTGGACTAATACCAGCCCAAAAGACATCCCCATGACCTCATCAACAGCTGAGGCAGCAAGATAGCCCATGCACATGGATTTTCTTCACTATCATTATGAGTTGTTATCTAATCTCCTTGCCTTAGGTAAGGCAAAACATCAGAGCTGCCTGGGGCTCTGGGTAAATCCTTAGCAAACAAAGCCTAAGCATTTTCACCTCTGGTGCTGTCAGTGTCCAAGCTAGCAGGTTTAAAGACTGCCCTGGGCTCTGTAGAAGTTGGAGTCACCTCTCTGGATTGCAGCTGGACACTCCCAAAACCCACAGTCCCAGGTTTGGAGTTCAGTACAACAGGCTCAGACCACACAGTATGGATCTGCACTCCAAATAACCTCATCTTTACACAGTTTATTCTGAACCTGCAGATTGAAAGCTCTTTTCCCAGTCCTCTCCTTTCACTTGCTGAAAAATCACCATGCTACTCAGACCTACAGACCTAGACTTGGCTTAGATTGTTTTCTTTGACACATTGCAAGGACTCCGGTTCTTGAAATGATTTTCCGATTTTCTGAGATCTGGGTAGTACTTTCCTATCACACTGCAGGATCGCAGCAGTGAATACTGTGGTCACACAGCAGAGAAATGATACTGCTTGTAAGAGTGGTGCATCTTACAGTCAAACACCCTCAAAAAGTCCCATCCACTGGGTCATTTCTGAGGAAACCTCTCCAATATTCAGAAGGGAAATCTCACATGGTGATTCTCACTCCTCACTTGGTCACTTTGATCAAATGTGAGACAGTGGGAATCTTTCCTGTGAAAATAAATTGTGAGGTCCACAGGGCTTCAGAAAAGGTGCTCAGAGCTTTTAACTCCCCAAAACTTCTTCAAACACATGATGGTCAAGAGCACAGCAGGCACTTGTATGCACTATTCTTAGCAGCAAAGGTTTCCTGTTTGGGGGCAGAAGTGACAAGGAAGATCCTGCTGCTTTAAATACTGTGAAAAGCTTTTTAGCCAAAAAACATTATCCACCCATTAGCAGGGAAAACACCATCCTCCATGGCCCCATCCTACTTCACCAGAAATGTCATCGGTTCCCGAGTGCTGCAGTAAATGTTACACTATTGAGCTATATTATCCTCAGACAGCTCTTAGTCTACAGCAAAAGCCCTGCAAAGTCCAGTTTCTCTGGGTGACTAAGCCAAGATGTGGATCTCTGAGCACAGATTTCCAGATCAGGCCAATTGTGTTGTTAAACTGGGAGCTCTCTCTGTTCTTTCAAGTACTTGCTTTCTTCCCGGGGCCAGGTACTGCCATTGTTCCCCGGGCTCTTGCAGATGCCCATTGTTCCCACGAGCTCCTGGCCTTTGATGCTGCAGAACAAAACGCACAGTGTTTGTGAAAGGAGGGAAAAATCAAAAAGCGTTTCAATTACACAGTTGGTTGAACAGCTCGGGCACAGCTGGCCACCAAGCACCAGGGTGCCGGCACCTCTCCACAAACCGGGGCCTTCAGAGAGCCTTCTACCCCAGCTGCAAAGTGAACCAAAGGGGGAATGATCAGTAGCTGATGGTTATCTGGTGAACTTCCATTTCATCACTTCCCAAGTCCAAATGCTCCTGGATTGTCCAGACTTTCACTAACCTCCTCACACACACATTTAGTAGCTGCAGCTGGAAAAAGCTGGAAATTTTTCCTGCTTCGTCCTGTCAGCATTGCTCGGAATTGGCCCGAGAGACACCACAGTAACATCTAGATTCACTGCCTCCATCTCCAGACTAATTTGGCTGACGTCAGGCTGGGGCTAGCTCAGCCTGAGCGGCATTGCCAGAACAGGACAGAGGTCTGAAATTGCAATGGTCTTACAAGAAGGTCTGAGGTGCACTGGCAGGGTCATGAGGAAGGAGAACCAGCAGGCTGGGATGCTCCAGTCACAGCTAGAAAAATTTCATGGTCCAGGTGTGGACCCTTCTGGTCCTGCTATGTAACACACTGTTTCTGACACTGTGGTGGCTTGGGGAAATAGAGTGCTCTACCTTGTGTTCAGTACGCAGCTATAAACGTTTTCTCTTATTGCCAAGATGACAGATCTCAGGAAGTCAAAGATGTGAGGGGTCTTCTAGTCCATCTGGGTCTGTCACCTTCGTCCTTGCGAAAGAGTAGGCAACGCCAGGGAGAGAGCTCTCCGGAAGGATCAGTCTATGGAAAAAGCTAATAAAATAATAAGAAAACACTTGCACAAAAAAGGGCCGGCCAGCCGGAACTTCCTGGGACAAAGGCACTCACACTCTCTTTTACAAATATATTTTATTATTTTAATGCTTATTAAGAAATGTAACCAAGACAGACTCAGCAGCACCAGCGGCTCCTCACTGCCCAGCAGTCTGATGACTTCACAGATATGAAAACTTCACAGATTAAAAAAAAAAACCAAAACAAAAAAACAACCAAACTTTGGTCAACACACTTTAAATACATTTGCATGCACAGATTCTCCCACCCCCTTCCCTCCCCTCCCCTCCCACTGGTAACTGACAAACAGAGGGAAAACAACAACTATATTCATAAAACATTGAAATTAAAAGAGTAATTGTTTTATAGTGACAGTGTGTGCAGCAGGGTGTTCATAGTGTCTTGGTGTGCAGAGCACAGAGACAACCGCTCCACAGGACAGCGGCAGGAACACCAGCTCCTGAGACAGAGCGGGGGAAGCAAAGGATGTTCTCAGATCTACAGTTCCAGTCTTGATTTCAACACATCCTTGTGTGAACAGTCCCAGCAGACAAATAAGACAGGGAGTTACACACAACACTGCCCCAGTTTAGGGATTCTCAGTCTGTCAGGGTTAGTGACCTCTCATGCAAATGAGGAACTGGTGTGACTGTAGTTACTCTTGATGTGTTTTACTGCAAAGAAGGCCAAAAGCTCAGGGCTAGAAAGAAAAAACCCTCTGGTACGACTCAGTGGAGTTTGATGCCCAAAACAAATTGGGAGAGAACTAACTATTAGGCATCTAAACTTAGCAAACACTGCGAGAGAGTATTCTAGTTTTAATGCACCACAGCACTGTTACAGCATGCTCGTCCTTCCCACAGAACGTGGCCGGGTTGGTTTTTTATTGGGTAGGGCTCGTGTTCGTGAAGCAGAAGGGCTTTTGTTACACCCAGACACGCTCATGAAACGAGACAATGCATCCTGAAAAGGAGATAATCCATAAGAACCATCTCTACTTCAGTCACACATAGACCACACAGAAGTCAACCCTCCGCACACGTCAGGCAAGGCTGACCCTCTGGCTCCCTCAGGAGAGCTGTAAGACCGTACACCCTTTCCATCAGCGAGTCCAATCTTGGGCTCATGCCAGCACATTTCTGCTCCCCCGAAATCCCCCCAAGCACCTACCCTACAAACCTTCCTTCACCACCAAGATTTGCCATCTAAGCCTAACCCTCCAGTCTGCTCCCACACCTTAGAGACTTTTCTATATCCACCAGCATCTCCTGGAGCCTCTTTTCAAAGAATGATCAAAGATTCAGACTACTGCATGTAAGTCCCAAGTCCATCTGCACAATAAGCTTCCTGGTACAAACTGGGATCAGTGGCAAGCCCCTTCTGTCTACAGTAACCCCAACTGTCCCACCACGCTTCTCTGTTCAAGAGCTGCAGTTCAAGCTTGCACAGAGCTTTGAAATATTACTGATCCAAAAGAAACTCTGCAGGACAATGCTGTAAGAGTGTGTACTTACACACCAAAAAAAGCCCTATCGAGGAGAGAGCCCCAAGAACTCTTGATAAAATTACTCCTGGCAACTGAACAAACTTTACTTTCTCCAAAACTCTATAAAGCAAATAAACCCTGGAGCCTAAGAGTCTCCAGGGAATGGTGAAATTCATGGAATGCCCTCGCACCAAACGAAGCACCACATCTCTCTATGGGTCTTGAGCCATTTTTAGCAAGATATTCTAGTTCAATGAAATTAGTCTCTTCTTACCCCAGCTCTTACTCTCTGAACCCACTGCACTTTGGATTCCCAAGGAGGTCTTCTCCAGCCTCTCCTGATGGTCACCTCCTTCTTCCCTTTGTCTTGGTACCACCATTGTTTATTCAGAACAGCTATATTTCATCAGCTAAACATTCTCCAGCTGGAAGGAAAATGGGGATATGAGTGGGGAGGTTAGGAAAAGATTAGTCAGCTTTCACTTTTCTAGCGATCCCTGCCCTGTGCAGTTTGGAAGAAAGGTACTTTTCTCAAGAGCAGAGAGTGCTGCCAAGAGAAAGAAAGAGCACACTTGATGGGACCCTCTTAAAGCGGCTTTTTTTTTTTTTTAAATAAAAAATAAAATAAAAAGAAAGCCTTGAAATTATGATCCCAAGGAAACAAGAAATAAGGATTCCAAAATTCTGCTCAAAAGGCTCATGCTGGCCCCAACAACTGCTTCGGAAACATCTTCTGAAGGTCCATCTCAGACATATGTCTGCCAGAAGGCACACAGCATGTGGTGCAATTGCCGTCCCTTCCTTCCTGTGACTACAGACTTCCAATTCTATATAAAACATGCTGCCTCCTTACCCTCACGGCACTTCCTCCTGCTCACATTCCCCAGCCCCTTCACACACCCTTTTCATTTCAAATCTGGATCACTAATATTGAAAGGGATTGGACACACTTGGGGGGCATCTCAAACAGCAACAGAAAAGCTAATTTCAAGACATCTGGAAACTCAGTAAGCTCGCATGGCGATCTGGTTGGGCAGGAAGGTTTTCCAGAAGGACAATCCTAAGTTTGTCACATCAACACAGATCAACTTGATTCTTGTGGCAACCAAGCAAGAAGCTGCCATAATTGAGTGTGAAGAAGCTCAGGAAACAATAGAAAGCAACCAACCCGCATCAGCTGTTGAAAGCCTGATGCAGTTTGGCACAAAACATCCCTTTACAATGGCAACTGAAGCTCAATAGGAGGCACTTCTGCACTCGCGTGTGCTCCAGCACATAAGCAATGCTGGTATTTTCCCACACTTCCTTCCCTGCTCTGCTTCTTTGTGGACCTAATTGTTATTGACATGAATACCGGATGTAATCTTCTGTTATTCTTAGAAGCATTTCAGCTCCCAACTGAGGCCTGAAGAGATCAGACCCCCATTTTCCTGACTGAGTTCCTCTGCCACTGTTACAGGAGGTCAGAGGAGCCATCCCACAAATAACCTGCAGAAATATTCCATCAAGAAAGATCAAGAGTAACAAGATCCCAAGTCACCCTACAGAGGACTTACCTATGACGTCAGTCACAGGGAAATGGCTTAGTGTTTGTTAATGGTGCCGGAGTGATAATCCACTCCTCTGACGTTAGACTACGTGGAAGAGCCGTGCCAAGAAAGCAGCAATGCAATTAAACTGTGAGGTCTATTGTTCTAGAAACTTGCCTGTCTTTCTGCTAAGGATTGTGGTGGCAACCACATCTTTTTATCCATCTCACAGTAAGCTTTGTGCTAGCCTGGAGCAGTTACACGCTTGCACACGTTCAGCATTATAAACTACTCCCACCTTCATGTCGGGAGACTGGCAAAAATTCTCCTCAAATAAAACTTTTCATTTTAATAGTTCACAATATTTAAAATAAACATGGAATAAGAACACACAAACCTAACCTGCTTTTCCTCAAATATCAAAATCCAGTTCCTCTTTCCTCTCTGAAAATGAGATTATTTGGCTGCTGAAATGTTAGTGGACAGACTCAAGGAGGAGCCAGGTTTGGGGGCTGATATTTCTGATGTTTTCAGCTAGGGAATAAGCTTCAGGTCCCTGGAATTACCAGACTTTTAGTTCTCCAGTAGGACCATTACTGCCTGTCTCTCCAGAAGGCTGGTGGTATTGAACATGGATTATTTGTCTGGAAAACAAAAAACAGACAATCTTTAGGTAGAATTCAAGTTACTGTCCTTGAGCTACCAGGCTTCATAAACAATACAGAAAATTATCAAACTGCTGTGAAATACCTCTGCAAGAAGCCACATCAGCGCACACCCTTCCTGCAGCACAGATTTGCCTGTTCTCTTATACAGACAGACTACTGCAGTTCCTAAGCTGATTTCCACTACTATTGACACCTTTCCGCTTCTCAGAGTAGGAGCATCTTCTAACCAGACAGACCCGGCTCTCTTGGCCTCCGCACCGCAGGGACGCATTGGGCTTCACAGTAAAGCACATCAGGAAAAAACTGAAATCACAGGAGAAAAGGTGTTTAAATAGAACTCAGTAGAATTCCAAAAATAAGTGTTAGGTATGTGTGTGCGTGTTCGTCCTTACCCCGAAAAAGAAGAAAAAAATCCCACAGCCTTTTTAGTGAGGATGGAAACAACCAATATGTGGAAAATTAGCTCTCCTCACACATATTTGGGGCCATGGAAAGAATTTGCATTGTAGGAGCTCAGGAGGACAAGCAGAGAGACAGGGGGAGAAAGCAGACATTGCCCACCAGCCTACAGACAGCTCACACACCTGACAGCTCTTCACAACATGCCGGAGCACAACCGCCCTGGTGACACAGACCACAACCTGGCCTGCTTGACTACTATCTGCAGCCCCAAGTCCTGCTAACAGCCCTTTTACTACAGGAAATCCGTATTACAGACTCCGTTTTCATTATTTGTTAGACAAAGTGGAGAGCTATGAGGTTATATTTGCCTTGTGCATCTAGAACATTGAGCGCTCAGGGAATGGATATGAGTTCTTGCCCATCTTTTATAACTTAACGTAAAGTAATCCTATCAAGATAACAAAAAAAACACGTTTGGGCAACCTGTTGCAGTATAAGCTTTAAAAACATGAACTGAAAGACAAGATGCCATGGTTGAAGGTATCCAAAATTCCCATCGTGTAAATTCCTTCCCTCTCCAAGCAGCTGCTGGCATCCTTCCTGACCAATAGATGCTGCTATCATCCCCTTTTGTTTGTTGCAGGGCCAAAGTACTAAAAGGCCCCTTCCCTGTCGCTCTCTGCAATTCAGTGAATACTTCCAGCCATGCTTTTATTTCTGTTGGTAAAGACAGCAAAACCGACATACAACCACAGATACACAGTACAGCATAATGTCACGATATGCCCTGCATCAGCAGGGTCTCCCAGTGCTGAACTTGGAATGCCATCTTTGACCTTGGCACTGCTCTTGGTGACGGGTCATTGATGGGTAACGTGTCCCTCCTTCCTTAGTCCGTTTCAATGGTCTCTTGGCTTTTCTCCAGTCTAGTATTTAGGATCATCCCAACAGTCCTGGGTAGGGACCCCTTTCTCCACAGCGATCTGAATACACACCTCTCCCCCCGCCCCCCAACCTCCCTTTCTGCCATGGCAGAGGTCACCAATGGAAAAAAAATAATTCTACCAGGAAGACTTTGAAAGTCTCATCAGGAAACTTCCGCTGCTGCGAAGGCTGCTCTTTCCAGATCTGCGTAAGACATCTGGGCATCAATTAGCTCTTCACTGTGAAGCTCCCTGTTCATGCATGCATCTGAGAGAATTCCATTTTTGCAGGAATGTGGGAGATGCCCATTTGTCTCCACATCCAGAGCATTTCCATTCTGGTGCCATTCCAAGCCAGCTTTGCATTTGTTTAAGTCCTGCTTTTCAGAATCCCTGTGGATCTCTCCATTGGTGTATACCTCTAACGCATACTCACTGATTCGTATGCTGGCGTTCTCTGCGTCCCCACCGTGAGTGGAAGTCCTAGAGCTGGCTGTTCCTGCCTTGAACGCCTCCTTCCGGCCCAGGATATGCTGGCTGATGATTTTGCGGAAGGTGTATCGGAACTCCCTGATTCGGTAGGCATAAATTAGAGGATTTACAACTGAGTTCGCATGAGACAGGATAATAGCCAGATACATCAGCCACAGGGGAGCGTGGGCACAATTTGGGCAAAAAAGGGTAAAGCAGTTAATAATATGTAGTGGAAGCCAGCAGACTGCAAACAACCCAACAATGATGGCTAAAGACTTAGCTGCATGGACTTCCTTCTGCAAAGTGGAGCGAGAACGTTCCCCATGTACCATCTTGTTCTCCATCTGCTTGAGCTGTCGCCGTGCTGCCATGAAGATTTTCAAGTAGATACCAAACATGAGGAGGAGGGGCAAAAGCACACAGGCAAAGAAGTTGTAGTAGACCATGTACTCCATGGTGACCACAGCCTCAAAGAGACAGGCTACCATACTGTTGCTGCAGTTGATGGGAGAGGACTTATTGGAACCCGGCTCTTCGATCTGGGAGCGATTGTGCCACCCTAGCATGGGTGTCAAGCCGATGATGAAAGATAACACCCAGCAGATGGCAATGATACCTTTAGCTCGAGAGCCAGTCACCAAGCCATTGTACCTACAAAGCAGAGGAAACAGGAAGTACATCAGTATCATTCAACGAGCCCCTGACACCCAAGCAACTTCCCAATGGCCCAATGTCCCAGAAGACAGAAGAAAGGCACCTGCTCCTTCAGATGTGCCTTTGAACTGCCGTGCAGATGCCACACAGCACAGCAAGGACTCCATGGTGACATTCTATGCCACTTATTTCCCTCCCCTTTCCTTTAGGCAGTGAATAGGCAACAGACAGAAAAGCAGGGAAATTAATACAGTTCTCATCTGTGTTCCTTCACTACACCAGCCCGCTTGGCCACGCACGTAGATCTGGCAGCCTGGATAATCAACAGCACTGCTTTGACCCTTGGTGATAAAGGCCACCAAAGGCAGAGGTAGTTCCTCCTTTCTGGCAAAGGCACAGCCTTGTAGCACGGAACTGCTAGGTCTGTCTTGCAGTAGATCTGTAAGCCAAATAGCACAAAAGAACTTGGAGGCACAGTGCCATCAGCCCCCGTCCACATTCAGGTGTGCTCCTGGGAAATTCTGCTGACTCAGCTGCAGAAGCCAGGCTGGCATCGCCTTGCAGAGCACCTCACTCTGCTCCACAGCGGCACTTTCAGGAAGGCCAGCACCACCAACCTTCCTGAAATAACTGAGACAAGTCAGCAGCTTTCCTCACCAGCCCAGCTAAGCTGACCCCATGTCTTTCCCAGAAAGAAGAAATTAAGCTGAGGTCAGTGCTCTGACTACAGGTGTGCTGTGGGCTGCACTGCACACACCAAAGGGGACTTCAGTGGTGGAGGTATCGATATCCCTGGCTGAAGCCAGCGCTCTTAGCAGTAAATTCTCCAAGATCTGTTGAAAGAGACAGTAAGCAACATGCAAGAATCTGACAGTGCAGCCAGGGACATTGGTTTGTTTGAAATATCAGCCAGTTCCCAAGGCCTCACAGGTTACTGCGAGTCCTGAGCCGACTCCACCAGCTCTTCTCTCTGAAAATGTAAATCAGGGCAACAGTTTAACATTTCAATGCAATTTCCTTCCCTTGGTAACGCTTAGCATGGAAAGTAGATGGCAGGATTCCCACATTGTCCAGTTTGGGTCCCACACTGTACTTGACCCCATGTGTCCGCGATCAGACAACGGTAGCACTGGGTTCCCAGTGTTTACCCAACGTTCTTTCTCCCTGTCCCCAGAATTCTCTCAGCAAACAAACATATAAAAAAAAAAATATAATCCAAGAAGCCATAGAAATCTTTCCATCTCTCAATGAAATAGTTATTCCCACAGGTTCATGCTCTCATTCCAATGCAAGTTCAAGACAGGGGAGGAGAGAGGCTGCTTTTGCCAGGCAGAGCACAGGATGGAGATCCTGCATGTGCTTTAAATCCCTGCTGATGGGCCTTGGAAAAAACCTGGCTCCACACAAGACCCAGCAGGCTTGAGTCTCTCTTCCTCAGTTGCATTTCAATATCAGAAAAGAGGGAGTGGGTGAGAGAGCCAACCACACAATTCCCAGTACCCAAAATACACTGAAATCCTCCTTCCAGAAATGAGGGAAGGATTCAGCTGATTCTGAGAGATAAAAAGGTTTCTCCAGCAAGTAGTGTATCCTGCTCAATGCTTAGGGGATGCTAAGGGCACAGCATGGATGGTAGCAGGGAGCCGCTCACTTTCAGACCTCATCAACACAGCAAAACAGCATCTGTGCTTTGAAAAGTGCACTTCAGGGAGCAAGAGATTGGCTGAAGGCACTTAAAGCTTGGAAAAACAAAAAAAAAACAAAACCCAAAAACTCAAAACCCTGCAGCCCTGGAATTGGCTACATCTTGTCAGAGGAATTTTGAAATTGTGCAGCTGTTATCCCACGACTAGAGATGTCCCTTCCCTTCCACTAAAAATATATTCATTACTGCTCCAGGCAAACACCCCCCCACTTCTCCCTCCCTCTTACCCTCTGGGGATTCCCATGCAACAAACTTTACAAGGCTTAGGAACAGCACTTAACCCAAGCAGCCGCCTGCTTTCCAGCTGCAGTGGAGTCTGCTGGCAGTGGCAATTATCAACCTATCAGCGAGTGCGCTTCCATAACACCTTGCTCAGTATCTCCAAGGGTTAAGAGAGAAAGCTAACAGCACCTTGTCACATAGCGTATGGCACTATGTTGGCCAGGTACCCATTGAGAAGTGTCCATTCACTTGGGAGAGCTTGATTTCTAGGACTCACACGAGACACCGCTGGCTGACTTGGCTGAGGTAGGGTTATTGTGCAGACAGACTTTCCTGGACTCATTCCTTTTGTCCACTTAGACATGTCACCAGGATGGCATTGAAGAGTTTATGCACCTGTGTAGGCATCTTTCTAGGCTTACAGCAACCAAGCCAAAGCAAATCTCTGTATGCCCTGTGCTGTACAGCGCTACATGGTAAGTTCAGGGTTTCCAGGAAGCTTCACGTAGACTGAGTTGCTGGCACCGATGCTGGAGACACAGCCTGCTGAAAGGAGCTGGTCACACCTACAGCCCATGTTCTGCATACTTGGCGGGTGACTTTGTAGCATGTCTGATGTATCCAGACAGCGCTGGATTGTCTGTGCACAAGCAGTTCTCGTGCTTCCTGGAAATACTGGACTTGCTACACAAACAACTTCTACTCGTGAAATTCCAGACATGAAGAACATTAGTGCAGAGCACAGGGACACTCATGGTGGAGTTGGGTATGGAGACAGGATCACCAGACTCCTCCAGAAAACAAACCACACTTTCGCCGCAAACACGGGAAATTGTGGATGTCTTCCCCAAAACAATTTCATCTGCCTTCCCAACCATCAGGCCAGCAAACTGACTCCAGAACAGCTGCCCTTGGTGAATGCACAACCCATCCATGCTGCCTAAAGTAGCTTGGCTGAGGATGTGACGCTTCTGGGTCCTTGGCCTAAGCTCTGTGTCATCAAGACAAGGATTCCTGCAGGAAGCGTAGTACCTCACTAGCCTGATTCGTAAACTATGAAGCTGGGTGGAAGACAGAGCTGGTATGAGAACCACAGGGCTCTTACACCTCAGGTGGAAGTTAAAATCTTCCCATACATTGCACGATACGTAGCTGGCCTAACTCATCGTCACAGCATCCAACGAGTCTGCTGCCTGTCTTCCAAACCTACCTCTGGTCACAGCACTGCACATCTTGGCCAGATGGCTCTGCCATGCATCGAACATACTTCAGACACATTTATTGCATCAGACCAGAAAGCCTGTGCTCAGCGTTGAGGGCATTGGGCTGTGATCTGAATTCCAGCTGTGCTCAAAGAGTTTTAACCAATCACTACAAAACACTCTTCACTGAACACACCCCTCAACAGCCCACACCTCAGGCAGCTGCAGTCATAGGGGGCAAGACAAAAGGAGGATATTCTATCCCTATTACACGTATCTGGAAATGGAAGACACTGACAGTCCCAGATCATCCAGGAAATGTTGTGGAAGAGCAAGAAACCAAACCCGGACCTTCTCATGCACCACCAAAACGACCCTTTCCCAGAAAGTCAGTCAAGTAACTTTCTCCCCTATTACCAGGTGCTGATACTGGTGCTGGTCTGTGCGATGGAGACTGGATAGGGTGGGATCCCATAGGTGGGCACAGGGCTCTAAACAGCAGAAGCAATAACGATGGGCAGGCACCACTTCTTTGCTCGTGGCACAGTATCAGCTTCCAGACTAAAACCCTGGTAATAGCAAGCTCCACTACCCATGAAGCCATAGACAACTGGCACTGCTTTCAAAGCCATGCCCATGGTTGTTCAGAGGAGGAAGGGAATTCTTCTTCTTTCATACTAGGTTAAATCTGCCCGTAATCTATTTGACAAAAACATGAGCACATGTAGGAAACGCTTGTCAAAGTCAAAAGGCTTACGGTAAACAGGGAAAGAAATAAGTTTGGATATGGCTGAAAGTGGCAATAAAACATTAAATTCCCAATTCACTGATTTGAATGCTCATCATATATGAGCATTTGAGAAGACAACCCTAGAGAATAAAAGCAACTGCTGAAACAGACTGTTCTTGACACAAAGGTCCCTTCCATGTCCTATACTTTACTCAGGGTTTGTGTCCATCTCCCCTATTCTTCCTCCCCTAGACTTTGAGAAGCCAGTTCTTCATGTCCAGCACCCCTAGCCCGGGGCAAAGAAGCATCCCAATGCCACCTCAGAGCTGCTGCTTCAATCACCACTCCGTGGGATAAATCTGTCGCAATGTTCCAAACATCAGGGAGCTGCACCTTAGTCATGCTTTCCCAGAGAAGCATCCCAGCGGCTCAGGCAGGCAGTCACCTCCAACCTCCATCAGAAGAAACGGTCTGCTCTACAGCAGGTTACTGCAGTTGGCACTGTATGCCTGGCATAAGTATTTACGCCACAGGTGAATACCTGAATCCAGCACATAGAGCAAGCAGTAACCTGAGAAAACTTCTCCGTTTGGCTGCAGGAAGAAAAATTTCTCCTCTCCTTCCAGTGCATCGGAGCTACCTGTCCTTCACCGTGGCAGTGTCTTTACCACAAATGCCTGCACAAGAACACGTGGCCGGGCACCGTGCCATCGGAGCATTTGCTGGCACCAAAGAGCCTGGAAAGCCGCAATTGTTCTTGGCCCATGACTTCATCCTGGAGCTCAGACTTGCAGCCAGTTTTGTTTAGAACACCCAGGGGTTTTATATCAGCGTGCGCAGGTTTTCAGGTACCTGCCATGGTAAGAGCCACAGTTCGGATTTTATCCCAGACTGAACAATGGCTTGGACCCACTTCCTTGGGAGTGCTTTATTGCCGCTTGCGGAGTGTTACATTTGTATAAAACCTGACAGAATTCAAAGTGCTTGAGGAGTTTCAGAAAGTTTATCAGATTCTACACAGTGTTTTAATCATTTGGAAGGTTGAAGCCATAAGATATTCACAAATTGGTTTTTATATATTTTTAAATTTTACCTATAAATGTCTTTCTTCACTGCAATTTTTTGGGGGAGGGTCTTTTATCCACAGAAAAATCATTCCAAAGGTAACTCAAATTATGTTCTGAGGTGTCCAAAACCAAGCAGTATCAGAAATCCCACTCTTCTGCCTCCTTAACACTGACAGTTTATTTGTGTGGGAATACACATCCACATATATATCCACTCAGATACCCCGCTTCGGACGAATCAGGTATGAAACAGTTAAAAATAAAAAGAAGAATAAAAAGTAGGTTTGGTCCTTTTCAGTTTCGTTAGACTAAAGAAAGTCAAATTTATATATTTTTTTTAAGAGCATTCATCTAATGAATATTAGGAATGCCTGGTGTTACGTTTCTGGTCCTCCAAGAAGGAGAGAAGAGGCTTTCCCAGGCATTAAGGATTGGGTGAAAATGTTGCATCTTTAGTGGCAGAACTTTCCTTCTAATGGTTTGACACATTTTTGAGACAACCAGGTATTAGAAAAAGATGAGGATGTGAGCAGTCTGAATCATATCACATTTCCCTCTTCAGCTAATCAGCTTTCACTTTCTCAGCATGTCTGGGGCTATAAATCTAATGTTTATTCATCCATAAATTCTTAAGGGGAAACACAATTGACAAGTTCTTCGCTCGTACTGTAAAAGGACAAACCAGTAGAGGACAAGGAGGGGGATGAACCCATGGATCTACCTGTGGGTTTCTGCATCCAATCAACTCTGCTGTTTCTGGAGTAGAAGAGGGTGTGCTCTGTTTTTTCAAAAACAAAATAGTGAAACCAGTACAGTGTCCAGCACTGATGAAGTCTGATTTTTCTAAAAGACACTCTACCGTGGCTGTTCCAGGAAATTAAATTTTCAGGACAATATAGTTACAATGATACCGCCAAAAATGGGCAGAAATCTAGATTTTAAAAATTCTCCTGGCAAGTCACCCTCTAGCAATATGAGCGCTTAAACTGTCAGCAAAAGTCTTCAGAGTTAGCTCATGAGAGATGAATTAAAGACATTAGCTCTTCTCAAAATCATTTCAGAGGCAAGCTCCTGAGGGCTACTCTACATATGTTGCTTTGTACCATTTATTCATTATTTTGGTTTATAAACTGGATCCATCTATATGCAGAGCTGTAGAAAAGTGGAGACAGGCCAATTTATAAGTAACTAATATCGATAGAGCTTTCTCCACAATGGAATGGAATAGTTATTCCTTACAACTACACCAAAAGTAAAGGTACGACTATAGGTCTGGAAACCAATTAACAGTAACGTTATAGCAGCACAAGCTTGCTGAGGCAAGGCTTCGGGAAAGACTATGCTGCACTGGTCCACACGGAAAGGTAATCTCCGCAGCTCGAGGGAAACGAATAATGCTATTTTTGAATGAGAGGTTTGTGTTAATCAACATAAGTGCTGGATGACCAAAGTATGCACAAGAGACAAAACTAAATTGCACAGGTCAACCCAAGTGATTTAAGCTCAACAGGAGTGAGGATGTCCAAAAACTCAAACTCAAGAGCACAATGATCGGAAAGTTGTTCCATTTTTGCAGCCACATTTGTTGTTCAGGATAGGCAGCAAGTCTCTCCATTCCTGAGAGCGTGCTGCATCCTCTTAAGGACAAGACGGGAAGGAAGGAGACTCCTACACTTTGTCTGCACCGGCCTCTCCCAGGGCTTCCTCTACATCTTTTGAGCTTATTGAATCACTCGGAAGCATTGTCACACAGCATTCAAACCCAGCCCACAAAATACAAGGCTGCTTCGCACCCACAGTCAGATATATCCCGTCACAGCAATGTGCTTCTGGAAAACTGAACCGAGTAGCAGCCCCTGTGCGTGTGGCAAAACTTCCCCTTGTGCCGCATCAGCTGCCCCGGTTGCACACGAAGTAGCAGCTAGTCATATTCTGCTTTCAAGCTCTAATATTGAAATGTCCTCTTCTTCCTTTAAACACCGCACTAGAGACCACAGAATAACCATCTGCAGGTCTAGGCTGGGACAAGCCTCTGCCTTGACCTAATATATGCTTTCCTTCCAGAGGCAGTGCCTAACCTAGTCCAAATCTTCCTAAGGCCCATTTCTTCATAGCCTTCTGCTTCTCCTCCCTTCACATTGAACGGACCTCCAGGAGAAAACCCCCATCCACACTCTCCACAACCCTGCTGCTACAGCTGCAGGCACAGTCCCCCATCCTCCCCACGGGGAAGGAGATGAGTTGACCTCACCCCCTTTCTGCCTTCTACTGTGTACTGCTTTAGCTCCACTTTCCCACCCTGGTCCTTCTGGTGCTGTTGGTCACAGCACAGAGCACAGGTTATTGACGTTTACCGCACGACCCTGACTAAATATGGAATGGCAGCTCCTAGGCAGTGCTGCTGCGATGCCATAGGCACGGACCATGAGGACAGAGAAGAACTGGAAAAAGAAGCGACCAGAAAATCCAGCAGCCAAGGCAGCCTTCAAGACCTAGAAAAGTTTTTTCAAATCACAAGAGAAAGTGCTGATCCTCATGTAACTTTTCCTTCCTCTATTCATGTCCAGATCTGTTGTTTTTACCGATACTCGCCCCTCACCACCCTAGCCCCTGCCCGTCGCCCCAGCCCAACCCTGGGCTTACCTGAGGGGTATGCGGATCGCAATGATTCTGTCGATGGCAATGGCAAGGAGGCTGAAGATTGAACTCTGAGTCAAGACCAGGACGAAGCAGGCAATGAAAAGGCAGCCATAGAAGAAGGCACAGAAGCCAGTGCTGATGGTGATGGCAAAGGGGATTGCCAGCATGCCCACGGCAATGTCAGCAGCAGCCAGGGACACCACAAAATAGTTGGTGACGTTCTGCAAGTTGCTATTCAGATAGACGGCCCAGCAGACCAGGATGTTCCCCAGTATGGCCAGCACTGCAATGACCAGTTCCAGGATGATGTAAGCTACGTCTGAGAGGAAGTCTTCTTTCCCATGTACTAGCATGGTGAGAACGACCAGGCCAATGTGAGAACGTGGTGCCGGAAAAGCTCAGCGTTCATATCTGCGGAGCACTGAACAGCCAAGACACCTCAAAGCTGCCTGGGGTCTGCAGAGCACTCAGCTGCCAGCCGGTGAAGGTTGCTCACATGCACCCTTTTCTCCCCATAGCTGTTCGAGATCTTTACAGTAGCAGGTGTCAAGAAAAAAAAAAACCCACAGCTTTCCAATTCCAGCAAAGTGGATTAACCAGGTGCAGAATAATTCAAACTCCAGCAGACGAATGGACAGGAGAATATCTCACATAGACATACACTGCTCCAGCAGGCAAAACGACACAACGTGTATTGTATCGCAGTGTCACATCGGCTGTGACTTTTTGTTTCCTGTTGACAATCACACTGCTAGTCATGGCTTCCTGTCATGTAGATACCTGCTAGCAACATCCTCCGGTTCTCTTTTTCACCTTTTCCCGCTAGGACGTGGGGAATATTCTCTTCAGCTGAAGCAAATATTCAACTTCTTCACTTGCAGTTTCCTTTAAAAAAAAAACAAACAAACAAACCAACAAACATCAACCACATACACTAAGTAATCAGCTCTACGGAGGAGAAGGAAAAAGCAAAATCTCATTAAAGTGGCATATTAAATTGATAACGGATATTAAAGAGACCTAGAAGAATACATCATTGGCAAAAAATCTCACATTTTGTCTATCCTGAAAGCTGCAGGGCCAAACGCAAGGTTCAGGCAGGCTGTATTTCACAGTGGTGATGAGAAACAAGGGACGTTTTGTTTTCGAGGCTACCAAGTGAGCTGGCACTTCAGCAGCTGCTCAATACTCTGCCCTGAAACACGAGAGCCCCACTAATTATGCCTTGGCAAGTGCTGTGGCTGAACAGAGGAAAGGTGAAGGAGCCTTTTCACATACACCTGTCTCCCTCTGATCACAAACACAAGACTTGAGCCATCACATGCTGCCCACCCTCAGGTACTTGGCGACGAAAGCGGGCTGCACCAATATGCTGCTCTGCGATGGCACGAACCTTCTTTCATAAGGGGGTTATGTTGCTGGCATGTGTGGTCACCACCCAGTCACCACTATACCCAGTCTCCATCGCATGCACGAATACTTGAACGTGAGCAGTGGCAGGGAGAATAGTCTGAGGTATGTCAGACAGTGTCATCCTTGAGGACTTTCCCGCTGAGCGTGCACGCTCTCTGCAAGGATCTCTGCAGGTTCCCCTCCTGCAACAGCATCATTTTTGTTCACATAAATCTTTATCCTATAAGCAAACCATTTATTCATTATACCTGCATTGTTCATTGTGTTGGGTGCATCCACAGATACAGGTCAGCACCATTCTTCAGCTACAACCAGCCAGAAACACATCCACCAACAGACACCTCTCCCAGAAACACAGACATAAGCCAATGTCAACATCATCTCTCAAGTGTACATTCACGCTCCTGCCGTATCACACACACAAATCGAGGACTAAAGCTAGTGTCGCTTGCAAGGAAATATGGTCCCTACAGCTGCCATTTCATATGGACATATACACATCATCTACGTGCTCGCGTGCCTCTCTCCACACTAATCTTGCAGGTCACCTTATACCTCTGCTTTCAGATATAGGGGCATTTCACCACTGTTTCAGCTAAAAATATAGCAATGGAGAATACAGTTCCCTGAGTTTTGTTGCACAGTCAGGAGAGAATTGTTTGCTGTCCTACCCTGTCACTTCCAGAGTGGGTTTTCAACCTTATTAGCGAGCTTTAGCAGTAGTATTTTCTCATTAATTTAAGAAAACAGCTACTTGAAACATCAGAGGGCTGGGGAAAAGAGAGAGAGAGCAGTAACTGATAAATCACTTGAGCTCAGTTTTGGATGCAACGTGAACCTCTAAAACAAAAGATTTTTTGGACCCCATCCACAGGTGATCTGGTGTGGTCTAACCCAGCAGGGTTTCATGCCTTCACAGTTCACTCTGTTTTCAAGTCAGAAACCTAATTTCTCAGGATAAAATAAAAGGGTAAAGACAGTGATAATAAAAGAAAATATGATTAACTTGTGATTCACATCTGATCTCAGGAATATAATCTAATTTTAGACCTTTCATTGATTTAGAGCTGTATTGCAAATGCTGCATTTGAAAGGAAAGTGAGTGATTCTTGGTGGTTTGGATGTGCTTCAAACCCCTAGCTTTTTCTCCACCTCCAGCAGTCTTCTGTATGTGTTTTGTTTGGTTTGTGTGGAAGAAATCAACAGAAGAGATTAGTTTGTGATCTAGCTATTAAGAGGAAGATAAAGATCATCCATTTAATCTTTTCTAAAGAACAAAAAACCCCAAGAAGTCTCTATATTGTCTATCTTCCTCTAGCAAAAACTTCGGGTTTCTATTGACCTCCTAAAGATTACTTCTACCTTCTTGAATTTCAGGGATGTCAGCGATATGCTCCTATATCACTCTGCTACCATTTGATTGCCCACCACAAATCCCAACAGGTTTGTTTCAAAACAATGATACTGAAAGCTAATACCCCCCCACCCCCGCCTGACTTCCAGGGAAGGGGATTAGAGTTAATATAAGATAGAAATAAAGAAAACCTGGAGCAGGAGAAAACAGAAGGGGCAAGATGAAAAATAAGCAATGCTTTGTGTGTGTGTGTGAGCAAGAAAGAGGAAAAACAAGACAGGAAGAAGCTGTTAGGAAAAAAACCCCAACCAAACAAGGGAAGTAGTGGGCAAAACAGGCCCGTAAGAGAAGGACAGTGTGTGTGCCTGCCAGAGGTACGGCACACGGCTCTGCAGCGGGTGCAAGCTCCCGTGTCCCTTAGCATTGTGGCAGCAGAGACGGTGATGAGGTAATACACGGGGTAACACTGCGGCAATGCAGCAGGGAGCATACCGCTTCCCAACGTGCTCACGCGCTTCCATGCGGCTCAAGCCCATGACCCAGCTCCAGTGTCAGGAAAACTATAGAAAAAATTAACAAATTACTGTGACATACTTGGGCCAAAACTACTGCTGTGTAAAATAAACCCACCATAAACTTCCCCCAACAAGCTACTCTGAGATGAATTCAAAAGAACTGAAGAAACTGCTTTCTGAAAGGTGCCAGTCTGAGAATTGGTCACGTTAATTCTGACGCTGAGGGGATTTACTTCAAGTCCTGCTATGTTGCTCTGGCACCTCATATTCATACTACATACACCTCAGTGAAGAGGATCAAAGTGAAATTACTGGGATATGCTTTCCCACTTCTGAGCTTCCTTTAGGAGGATTATGAATCCATATTAATCCCAGATGCATTGTTTAACCTGACCCTTTCAATGGCTCATCTCAAACTCATTTTCCAAGAGGACATGAAGGGAAGTAACAAACCTACGCTGCGGAGGTCCCCCACATACTAACCGTTCAGCACAAAGACAAAGCTGGAACTGGAACTACAGCTCTGCATGTATCCCGAAAAAGCACAATGCAGGAATCTGAAGTTTAATGACGACATCACATACTGTTTTCTGGCACAACAGAGCTTTTAACCTTCTACTTCAACTGGTTATTTCATGGTCTGATGTTAAATTTGAATGTTTTATCTTGGAATTTTTTTAGTCCCATGTTTCCCCTCCCCTTTCACAAACAGTGGCCTGATTCTTCAACCCAAGCCTTAGCCATTTATTCCGAACCAGTCTGTGAGATGTTATGGCCAGAAGAGGACAAGGTGTCCTTCCACCTTCTGCTCTCAGATGGGCTGGAAAACACTTGAGAGTTCTGCAGAGCCAGCACATCTCAGAAGAGAAATGAGCGGAGCTGAGCAGGTGTCCCAGCCATGACCAAACAATGTTTTGTGTCTGCTTCAGTGCTGGTGCTTCTGCAGTAGCCACTGACATTAGAAAAAGCAATTATTAGCTGCACAACCCCAGCACGTCAGAGGCCTCACCTGCTACCTACAGAAGGTGCCAGAACCCGGGAGGTTCCCACATTCAACCCAAACTCACCCGTCTCTCCTCATTCATCTCTTGCAGTGTCAGCCCGCTATAGCTTTCACCTGACATGATCACAAGTCTTTAATTGTAGAAGTATTTGCAACGTGCTTTAAAACAAGAAGAGGTTCGGTCTTTCTGCTCATACGACTAGAAATTTACTGCACAGGGACAAAATGAAATACAGACCACCTAGAGAACATGACATATACCCAGAGGCAACACAAAATTTATTATAGAATCATCTACTTCATCCAAGACCCAAAGGCTCAGCAACCAGGTCTGACAAGACAAAATTAATTAACAACCTGCTTTACTCACTGGGGAAGTGTATATTTAACATCTCAGGCCCTTGAGGGATCAATATTGCAAGCTTCTTGAAACTTAAGAAAAATAACCTGTATCACACAGCCTGCTGGACAGCTACAATTAGTATTTCTTCTTAAGCCCATGTTTTATTTTGTTAATTGGATTAATTCCTTCTTGATACCCTGGGCTATGTTCCGGCCTTTTCCCCATTATTAAATAAACCTTTTTTGCCACTCACAAACCTGTGAAGCTGTTGCTCTGTTCGTTTTTAGTGACTTGGAACACTCTGTTCTCTCTCATATTTCACCCCCAATGAAAAACTGCTCCTTGAAAATTCAATAAAGCATCTGAACAGCACGTTCCCATGAAGCAATTCACCACTGGAGCCGAAGTAAGCTTTTGTTTGGCATCTCCAGTTAGCTTCGGACTAAGGTGTTGCCCCTTCTCTCTCCTGAGTGCCAAAGGCACCAAGGTGAGCCCTTGGCCACCGCTTGGCTCAGATCACCCACCTCAAACGAGCCCATTCCCTGCTCTCAGCCCCTTCAGGCTGAGCTCAGTCATCCCCCGCGGGTTTGGATGCCCGGGCTCCGACACACTGGTACACAGAAGATGCACCTTCTGCTCTGCGTGCCAGGCTGACATACATGACAATGTCTGTGACACTTCCATTTGACAGCTACTCTCAGCCGTCAGCCAAAACTCCAGGGGCT